AGAGGAATAGCGATGTAGAGTGAGACAAATTACTATTATGATTATTGTAATAACGTAAACAGTTTTGCAAAACATTTTAGACCGAGTTCATAGGCGTAACAAATCATCGAATAGATGTTTAGGGAGCACGGAGAAAAGGCATAAAAATCCCCATTTATTACAGGAATATTATTAAAAACAATAAAAAACTCTTCGATATCTAATAATAAACAAAAGGCAAATATGTATATTGTTTCAATATTAAATAGGAAAAAACGCATTCAACAATGATTAATGCAGGTATATGTATATCCGAAGTAATTAGTAACGAATATTTCAGAAATCACAATTAAGAAAAACTTTCGAGGAAACATTTCGTCAACTGAGCTGACCATCTTCAGAGCATAATAACATTAAACAATGTTATTTTATAGGATACTAATATGTACTAAAAAAAAAAGTAAATATTTACGATAAGCTCGAAGGTTTGAATTTTCTTATTATACGGAATTAATTCAGGTACAAACAGTTATCAAGATTTTTTAAAGCGAATTACGTTTTTGATAAATAAAGTTCGTGTTAAGAAAAAGTCAATTTGTGGCATTATTAATCTATTCCAAATATTTTATTTAGTCAAAATATAGATAGTAAAAGATCATTTACATAAAATAAATATTTTTGTGTTATTTTATATTTTAACTGCACTTACTTATCGCCTCATTACCGCGCCTATGCTTATTATTTGTACAAAGTTTTTTTTTATCACTAGAGTTAATAAATTCTTCATCGATGTCAGCACCTTCCGTGTTCTCTAATTTCCAGAAATGGGCGGTGCTTACTAAATCAGTGACATTCGGCTTTACAAGAGCAATTATTTTACTGTTAAATACATCAAAAATACCGAATAAAGAGTAAAATTGCTATAAAGGCATTATTAGCGAATGAAAAATAACAGCAATTAAAAGAACGAATTTATTCAAACTCAAGTCCAACTCGTTGTTTGCAGATACGCCTATGTTAAGTATATTTTGGGGAGTAGTTCACAAGCGGTTCGGAGGCGGCAGCACGTTCCGTGTTAATTTGAATAATAATGGTATGAGAGAAACAGTAAATGTTAACTCAGCTTTTATATCAGAGAGGACACTGTATGTATTGCTCTTTTGTTTTAAATTCCTTCCACTATTGTTTTATAGACGGCGCGACGTATATGAATTCAAAATTTATTTTCTTTTAAATGAATTTCTGGATAGAAAAGTATCCTCATTAAAAATTGAAAATTAAAGTATTTGCGATAACAGCGCTCTTTTTAACTAAATAAAAATTTCTATTAGTGTTTTTTTTTTATTAACAACAAAATTATTTCACTGTCTATAATAAAACTACATTTGTCAATATATAGAGTCTCTAAGTGTTTCATCGTTAAAAGTTAAAGGCCTTTGTTGAAATAAACACTTGCAGGGGGATTACCCTTGAACTTTTCTGTAAGTTCAACCTAAAACATACAACGATCTACTTTCAAATCATACCTTATGGTGACAGTAAAAAAATAAACCATATCTGTACAGTACATACGTTCGTTAACCCTTTATACCATTGTTATAAACATTTGACTTTTTATATTCAAAAAACTTATCAAACATTGTTTTTAAGAATTTCAACACATCGACACCTTGCTTTTACGAGTATACGCTTTTGTACTTTTTTGAATGCTACTTTTTTTTATTACTGTTAATCATTTAATATTAAAATGAGTGTACTTAATTTACCTGAATATTTTGTTCTAAATCGTTAAATGGAAATTCTTGATATTGTTTGAAAAATGCACAACACAAAGGCGTACATACCGTCATTCTTGATTAGAAATGTTTTCAGCGCAGAGACACTTAGGTGTAGGTGGCCCCACGTGTTAGATGTATCGATGAGTATGAGTCCTTCATCTATTATGACGATGTTAATCTCCTGTAATTCAATTAAACATAAGCCTTTCATATTTTTAANATTACTGTTAATCATTTAATATTAAACTAAGTATACTTAATTTACCTGAACATTTTGCTCTAAATCGTTAAATGGAAATTCTTGATATTGTTTGAAAAACGCACAACACAAAGGCGTGGAAAATAAAAGAGTTAGTCCATTTAAACTTAACTCTATTGGAAATGGGTACTTAAAATGAATTCCTCTTTTAGATAAAAAATCCATTAGGGTTGGTACTCCAACTAAAATTATTTAGAATGTTTTAAATTAAATCGTGACATCATCTCCTGATGTTAAATTTCAAAAAATTAGGCATCGCAACAGTCACAATAGTAAATAATTGGGAGGGATGAAAATTAAACATAAAAGGAAACTTCAAGTTAAGGGGCACTCCAATGGGGACGAAAGAAGGGTGTGATACGTCAATTATACAGCGATAAATATTTTAAAAAAACAAAAGGCCATAAAAATTATTCCCAAAGAATTTAAACTCCACCCTAATAATATGTTTTGTTACCCATTCCTCCCATGGGCATGCAAACCCTGCTGAACACAACTTGACTAATTCCCTTTTGAGCAGCATACTTTGATTGACCTATTTTCTGTCCATTTTCATCATATATTGCGGTTCCCTCTAATAATTCTCTGTAAGATAATAATTGCTACTTTTGTGCCTGTATTTTTTTTAAATTATTTATTTACTTTGAACGCATCATCGGTAAATTAACGCAATTAGCAGCAGCGCAACCTGCGAAGGGTACAAATCGAGAAATCACTGGTGGAGCCCGCTGGAAATAATGGACGAATAAATTTTTCGAAAACAAAAAAGTAAAAAAAAATAACTTCATACCTATTTTGTTACCACAAACGAAAACATCTTCAAAAAAATGTTTTGTGTTTTTTTGTCCTTTAGGCCACCCTTATTTTATGCGAATTCTGTCGTGAAATATTGGTAATTTTTTACATTAGTTGACATTGGAATTGAGACATGCAGTTTAGTCAGGTAGGTAGTACTCACCAAGTAGAATCGTGTGGTAGTATTAATTACATGCGGAAATCAATGTAGCTTGAGATACAGGCTCCTAAAGTTTTCTTAATTGGAGGAAATTCCGGTTAGTACGGCCCTGGCTGCAGCACTTCGTCGGCTGTTCTCGCCAAATATGCATTGATGACGTCATTGTTTAGTTAGGTAGATTTATGATAGACTGGAGTTTCTTTTATGCCCCTGCCGTGATAGGTTGGAATAATATTAGGAGGTTATCTTTTAGGAGAAACGATGCTTGGCGGGAACAGCTGACGGAAGGCTGAAGCCAGGACCGTACCTATCGGAATTTCCTCCGATTAAGAGAATTTTAACAGCCCGTGTCTCAGTCACATTGATTTTTAAACAAATAATAAACAAAATTCTAATAAATACTACCACACTACTTTACTTGGTGAGTACCGCCTACCTGACTAAACTTCATGTCTCAATTCCAATGTCAACTAATGTAAAAAATTACCAAAATTATTTATCTTTTATTAAATTTGTTATTATATCAGCGGTAAAATAAGATGTATTATGGAGATTTTACATGTTTTCCACTATAGTTATAAATTGCAATATATGCATAAGTAATTTGTGGTAACATTATATGCAATTATGTAAGTACTGATTGTTAAATCGAGTTTTACCCGTAATAAACGCTTTAAGCCTAACGAAACGATTACGGCGCTACTTGTGGCTGCTACATAGGACCAAAGAATTTGTCTGTAAATAAAACGGAATTTGAAATACATCCTATTATTTATTTAATGCTGCATGATATCTTATTTAGTAGGTGGATTGTAGGCATCGTATAAAACATAAGTGCATGTGCAAAATACGTTACCTAACTATTTAAAATCCCACAAATTTTACAATAAAAATTTATTAATGAAGACCCAAATATATCGGTAATTGAACAACAAATCAGTTACAACGAACCGTATCAAAATATTTTTAACAGTAATGATATAATTACGGCTATTAAAACAGTTTACGAAATTGAATTTTAAAATCATAGGTGCATTGATATTTTTTGCCACATCCAAATTAAAATAGTTACAAATCTAAATTGTTGTTTGATTTTATTTCATTTATCAAGAAACCGTCATTTTAAAGCAAGAAACATTTTTTTTTCGCATTAAAATGACGGTTTCCTAATAAATGAAATTAATCCTTACAACAATTTAGAAATTATGTAAAACAATAAAAGCTTAAAGTTGAACTACCCATTTTAATATTGTGGTGACAAGAAATATGTACCTATTGTTTTAAAATTTAATAACGTAAATTGTTTTACTGGCCCTAATTACTTCATTAATAAAAGGCGTGGATGACTAGTTTTAAATTAAAAAAAAAGTATTGTTAGGTTTCACATGAAACAATACCATTTCACAAACAAATGAAAGTACAGTTTGAAAATTTGATGATCGCAAAAATTGCTTGAACGTAAAGTACATAGCATTGTTTATAAATTATACTATATACCATTACAGCGTCCATAATATTACATCGTAATGTTTATGTAATTATAGAGGCATGTACGTAGTTTAGAAACAAGGTTTCTTCAATTATTTATATTGTTTTCTATTTTGATATACATATACAACAATACTTACTGATTAGTAATAGGACTATCACCGCTCCTGTTACTAAAATTTACTACTGCATTAAATGATTGGTTAACCCATTGCCAAAATATAATGGCAGTGTTGGTTTTATAAAAGAATGTCAAACAAGCCGTTAAGACCATATTTACAGGAACTTGAGCTGACATTCTTCCTAAAAGAAACTGTTTTTCGCCAGTTTCAGGATGAAATGCAGAATCATAAATCACTTTGGCTTTTATCAGTTCTTTTTCCGATACTTCAACTAACTCTTTTTTTCTAAAAAACNATAACTAACACTAATCAAATAATAGACTATTAAAATCAACACATAACTATTGCAATTCAGAAGTGTAAAAATTTATAGTGGTAATTATTGTCAAACAAATGGAGCACTACATTTGGTAAGTCGCAAGAGGTCTTTTTCAATATTCCAATTTTTAGCGCGGGATCAACTATATAGCAGTCTTGTTTTTCGTTTTTCTACATCATTCGGCCTTGAAACGTTTAATTGCACTAGTACTATCAAAATTTATGTTCATTTCCAGTCTTAAAAGATCTTTTTCAAAGTACCAATTTTTAGCGCGGGATCAACTATATAGCAGTCTTGTTTTTCGTTTTTTTACATCGTTCGGCCTTGAAACGTTTAATTGCACTAGTATTATCAAAATTTGTGTTCATTTCCAGTATTACAACTATAAATTAAATTTCTCAATAGATGTCTTAGTGTTATTTTTAATAAGTAAAACGCTGTTTACATCAAAACGAGGTTATTTAGCAAATACTGTAATTAAATAAAATAAGGTTTGATCAATAATACATTTATTGTTGCAAATTAATAGCATTTATAATAAACACAACGTGTAAACATTAATAGATAAGTATTTCAAATAACAACAATACATCAAAGACAAAATTAAAAACACACTATTTATTTATTTAAATAGTAAAGAACGGTTGCCTTTGTGGACTGTATTCTTGATTTGCTGTTTCGTCTTCGCTTTGCAACATCATGCAGTTAATTTTCAACCCATGAGTGAGAGCAACTGGATGTTTACTTGAATTTCACTGAAATAACAAATTTTCTGCTACCGTATTCCTCCTGGAGTTGGTTTGCTTTTCACACCTGCAAACTTTGTGGAAATATTTCATTAATTCTTAGAGAGTGATTAATTGTTAGTGTCTTGGTTTTTTTTGGGGTATTACTTTTAAAGGCGAGTCAGTTACTATTAATTTAGAAGTTAAACTCGGCTAGTATAATTGAGCGCACCTATAAATTCTATTATCTATGATCATAGGTATAGAAAGAATTTTTATCTATGGATCTTCCGGCTTTTCTGCACAACTCTGATGTCTGATCTTGTCATCTTGTCTTGGAGCATTGGGAATTGCCAGGCATTGCAGAGCATTGTTTGAGACGAAGAAAATTCGCCATTTTTGCTGTTCAGAAATACAAACTACGCCTGAAGGTATTTAGTCCTAATCCTTATTCGATTTTAATTTGATTGTGTGGAATACGTTTTTGTTTAGTGATTGTTGTTTCAATTATTGTTGCTGAGATTTTTTTAGCGTAAATGACTTCTGCAGAATATTGGTTTCATGCTTCAACACGGAAGTCCATCGTGGCATCTTGCCTGTCTACTAATCTACCGTGAATTTTTATAGATTCTTAATTTATTTGAAGTCGAATAATTAGGAGTTTGTTAATTTTTAAAGTATGAAAACGGATTTACGCGATGATTATAGATTTGTCATATTTGTGTGATCACGTCGCCAAGAATTGTCTTCATTTTATAACCAAAATATTTCTGCCATTAAAATTCTAAATTTCTGTTAGAAGGTTTTCCATTTTGTTCTTCTTGTCGTGAACTTTTTTGATTGTAACTTGTTTTTTTCTTCTAAATATAGACTTGCTGTGAGGTAACATCCTTGTATTAGATGGACAAACTACCTACTTATGATCCAATGTTTGCGGCAGTGAGACTTATTTTTTTTTTTCATTGGACACAGGATGACAGTTATTATTAATAATAATGAATTAATGTATTCTCACCTTAATTAATTGTAGAAAGTGGCGTTCTAGTCTTCCAGTGTGTTGAGCAAACCATATCTGGGAGGGATACCACTGCAGACAATTTGTTGTTTCAGTGGAATTCAAATAACCAGTTGCTCTCACTCATGGGTTGAAAATTAACTGCATGATGTTGCAAAGCGAAGACGAAACAGCAAATCAATTATTCAGTCAAGGAAAGACAGCACCATTGTAGATCTTGTTTATTTCTGCACAATCTTCCTTAACTTTAATTCTCTCAATTGTTGGGTAATCTGCAGAAAAGGACAAAAAACTATGTTAATTGTACTATTAATTAAGGAAGGGATTAACACACACCTAAAAGAAAGTGAAGAAATTAGGACGTCGCAAATTAGAATGACAATCAAGTATTGGATGTACTTAACAATTAACGTTTAAAGAAGCTTACCTAGAGGATTACTGTACGATGCTTCAGTTTTATTCCTTAAGCGTTCACAACAGAAAAGTGCCTCTAACAGTAGACACTTATGAAAAGAAAAAACCACTGATGAGGAAATGAAGCATGTAGTATTTTTTGAAAAACTGCAATACCTGAAAATAGTATAATTTATATTTCTTTTTAATGTTGACAATTCAGTAGGCTAAATTATTACAGTAATTATTGCCAAAACAGATAAAACAATTGATTTAGAAAATTCAAAATAATTTAGTAAACATAACTACAGAATAATTACCTCTTCCACAAACAGCCCTAAGTCCAAAGGAGGGAGCGCTAATGGTGTTGCACTTCTTCAGGTTTCGAGTCCTTGTTTGTCATATCAATGCTCATTTAATATGTTTAAATGACAACCTGTTGAAACAACGTAATATTAGTTATATCTCTATCATTTATTATTACATATTAAGAACGGTAACTTCCATCAATCAAATAATAGACTATCAAACTCAATAATTGACTATTACAATTCAGAAGAGTAAAAAATTGTAGTAGTAATTATTTCCAAACAAATGAAATATAAGATTTGGAAAATCACACACCATTTTGTATATACATACAACTTAAAAAAAATATTTAAAGTTTTCCATAAAAGATACCTTTCCAGAGAGGTGCTCCACTTTTTCACGTTCCGACCCCTTTTGATTTGCCCTGTCCCGGTCCTTATTAATTTATTATTATTAATAATAACTGTCATCCTGTGTCCAATGAAAAAAAAAAATAAGTCTCACTGCCGCAAACATTGGATCATAAGTAGGTAGTTTGTCCATCTAATACAAGGATGTTACCTCACAGCAAGTCTATATTTAGAAGAAAAAAACAAGTTACAATCAAAAAAGTTCACGACAAGAAGAACAAAATGGAAAACCTTCTAACAGAAATTTAGAATTTTAATGGCAGAAATATTTTGGTTATAAAATGAAGACAATTCTTGGCGACGTGATCACACAAATATGACAAATCTATAATCATCGCGTAAATCCGTTTTCATACTTTAAAAATTAACAAACTCCTAATTATTCGACTTCAAATAAATTAAGAATCTATAAAAATTCACGGTAGATTAGTAGACAGGCAAGATGCCACGATGGACTTCCGTGTTGAAGCATGAAACCAATATTCTGCAGAAGTCATTTACGCTAAAAAAATCTCAGCAACAATAATTGAAACAACAATCACTAAACAAAAACGTATTCCACACAATCAAATTAAAATCGAATAAGGATTAGGACTAAATACCTTCAGGCGTAGTTTGTATTTCTGAACAGCAAAAATGGCGAATTTTCTTCGTCTCAAACAATGCTCTGCAATGCCTGGCAATTCCCAATGCTCCAAGACAAGATGACAAGATCAGACATCAGAGTTGTGCAGAAAAGCCGGAAGATCCATAGATAAAAATTCTTTCTATACCTATGATCATAGATAATAGAATTTATAGGTGCGCTCAATTATACTAGCCGAGTTTAACTTCTAAATTAATAGTAACTGACTCGCCTTTAAAAGTAATACCCCAAAAAAAACCAAGACACTAACAATTAATCACTCTCTAAGAATTAATGAAATATTTCCACAAAGTTTGCAGGTGTGAAAAGCAAACCAACTCCAGGAGGAATACGGTAGCAGAAAATTTGTTATTTCAGTGAAATTCAAGTAAACATCCAGTTGCTCTCACTCATGGGTTGAAAATTAACTGCATGATGTTGCAAAGCGAAGACGAAACAGCAAATCAAGAATACAGTCCACAAAGGCAACCGTTCTTTACTATTTAAATAAATAAATAGTGTGTTTTTAATTTTGTCTTTGATGTATTGTTGTTATTTGAAATACTTATCTATTAATGTTTACACGTTGTGTTTATTATAAATGCTATTAATTTGCAACAATAAATGTATTATTGATCAAACCTTATTTTATTTAATTACAGTATTTGCTAAATAACCTCGTTTTGATGTAAACAGCGTTTTACTTATTAAAAATAACACTAAGACATCTATTGAGAAATTTAATTTATAGTTGTAATACTGGAAATGAACACAAATTTTGATAATACTAGTGCAATTAAACGTTTCAAGGCCGAACGATGTAAAAAAACGAAAAACAAGACTGCTATATAGTTGATCCCGCGCTAAAAATTGGTACTTTGAAAAAGATCTTTTAAGACTGGAAATGAACATAAATTTTGATAGTACTAGTGCAATTAAACGTTTCAAGGCCGAATGATGTAGAAAAACGAAAAACAAGACTGCTATATAGTTGATCCCGCGCTAAAAATTGGAATATTGAAAAAGACCTCTTGCGACTTACCAAATGTAGTGCTCCATTTGTTTGACAATAATTACCACTATAAATTTTTACACTTCTGAATTGCAATAGTTATGTGTTGATTTTAATAGTCTATTATTTGATTAGTGTTAGTTATGGTTTTTAATATTTTAAAACATGATATTTAAAATGAAGCTCACATTAAATTATTTCAACAGGATGCCATTTAAACATATTAAATGAAGAAGCAGACAAAAAGTAAAAAGGATTCAAAACCTGGAGAATTGGAGCCCCTTCAATGTTCCCGTCCTTTGGCTGTGAAAGGTGCGATTTTTAGAAAATATATGCAGAGACACTTCTCTTTATCAACGCTTTGGAATAAATCTGGAGTACCGTAGAGTAATCTTCCAGGTAAGCAATTGTTTTTCTATTATATTGAAGTTGCTTAGTTTTCATAGTAATTTGCCATCTGTGGCATCGATGGCTTTACTTCTAACAGTTATCTATTGTTCACAGCATAAATCGATGTTATCGTGCATCTATGAGGTTCTCTTTTAAGTATCTATTGTCCACTGTATAAATTAACATCGTACATCTACGGTTATTTCTGTAGCCTTTAACATCTACTATTATCTATGAACATTTATCTATGACATGAATAAAATTGACATGTCGTCGCCATTTTATAATAAGCTGTTTTGCTTTCGTTTTTGTACATGTTTTTAATTATATTACATATTTTACTTATTTTAAACATCCATTCTTTAGTAGATAGTATAACTAATACTTTTTTTTGCCCATCTCTACAGATCGTCTGACAAATGGGAGAGAATTAAAGTTCGGGTTGATGGTACTGAAACAATATCTACAATGGTGCTGCCTTTGGTGAACTACAATCTTGATTAGCTGTTTTCGTCTTCACCTTGTAACATTATGCAGTTAATTTTCAAGGGATGAGTGAGAGCAACTGGAGATTTGCGAATTCCACTGAAATAACACAAATTTTCTGCATTGGCATTCCTCTTGGATTTGATTTGCTTTTCACACCTGCAAACTTTGGAACATTACGGTCTACAGTTAATTAAGGTGAGAATACTTGATATAATTAATTTTAATTGCTCCTTATTAATCTGTTACCACCGTATCTGTTTCAGATCGACGTTGGAGAAGACAAAGATGACCCCGTAGTTAAAATAGTTCTCTATCTTGCATGCTCTATCTAGTAGAATTCATTAAGTTCATTTTATTCAAATTAATTTTTTATTTTGCATG